GGGACTCAAAAGATTTGAGACGTCACACTTGAATTTGGATTTCCCTTATGTTGAGGGAATCCAAGATTTTATACTCCTCATCTTAATTTTTTATTTTCTTTAATCATTCTTCACGATTAAATATCTTATCATAAATTATGATGAGGGAATTCACTTGGATTTCCCTTATGTTAGGGGATCCAAGATTTTATGCTCTTATCGAGCTCCTCATTTTCTTCCATCGTCTTCATTGCGGTGAGGAAACTATCATAAATTTCGATAAGGAAATTCGTAACAATTCGAGAATGTCACACTTGGATTCATTTTATGTTGCGGGAATTCAAGATTGTATAGTATAATCTTAATTCATCATTTTCTTTAAAAGTTTTTCATTGACATCACAAAGTCAGAAATTTTAATAAGACCCCAAAAAAAAATTTCAAATCACATTTTGAGATTTAAAACATATATCTTTTTTTATGTCAAGTGAATTTAATTTTTCTAAATCTTATATTATAAATTCACTCCAATAAATATAAATACTTTTTTTAAAAAAAATAATAAATTATTTTTAGAAAATGTTATACACATAAAATTCTAACTCTAACTCCGAAAAGCCAAAAAGTACTCATAACTATTGCTAAATATGATGATGAACACTGAAAATATTGAACCTGCCCTTTGTAGTAACAGTAAGTAAATCACCCATCAGTTTTTTCCCTTTATTTTATTTGTCTTTCTCTGTCTCATCATAACTATATATATGTTTTGGTATCCTTTACAAAAGAAATAGTCAAAGAAAGTTTCGATATTTATTTGATTAATTTAAATTTATATTACAAAAATAAACGATAAAAAAATAGAATATAAAATTTATAAGTTTGAGTTTTAATTAGTTTAGACCTTTTGAGTCATTTGGGTTTCAAATTGATCATTTATGCACATATTAAATATTGAATTTCTTATGATAAGTATAAGATTCAACTGCAACAGATACGATTTTAGATTATGACTTTATATGATATAGTTCGTGTTTATTTATATATATGTGATTACACTTTCTGACAAATGAAATGATATTCAAATGATCCCGCAAAATAAGTGTTCGATTAAATTCTTCACTTAGGATAAGTCCATCTCTAGGCTCTTTAATTTACATGTGATAATATTTACTTATTGAAACATGTTTTGCTTATTAATTAATCATCTCATTGTTTTTATTTTATTTTTTTCAATATTTTTAGGGTTAGAAGTTGCAAATAATTTTCCGTCAAAAGTAAATTCAACAGCTGTGTTTCAACGTGTTAGAATGAGTTCAATTGAAGAAAATGAAGATCAAATAGCATATCAAGCTGCTGTTAATATTAATGGACATATATTCAAAGGAATATTATATGATCAAGGTGATAATCATGAGTACAATTATATGAATGGTGGTGATTATGACAGCTCATCGGGTGGCGATCCCGTGCCACGACAGTATAATCTTAATATTACTCGCACCGCCACGTCAGCAGCGAATGACGTGGCTGTAGGGGGTGGCGGTGTTGCTTCCGCGATGGCCGCGGAAGGATCATCACATTTTCTAGAAACTTCTTTATACTCTAGTGTCAACACTTTCGTGGCAGGTACTCAATTTTTTCCACCTTCAAGATCTTGAGATTAATTAATTAATAATATTTTCGATTAGAAAAAAAAAAGATATTTGACATTTGACAAATTTTGTTCTTGTAATGAGATCTAGTTAATTATTTTAATTAGCTACTCTTAATTAATCTCCACATAATTAAGGTTCATTATTGCTACTACTTCTTACCACTATATATTCATGTCTTGTTGCACTAATTTTCTTTATGTAATATTAATGATATTTGCATAAGTTATAAATAATTTATGAATTAGTAATACATGAATAATATAACAATTAAAATGAAAAAAGTTAACTATTTATTGCGACAATCACATATTTTACATGATTCACACTCTAATGTGGTATGAAAGTAGAGGTTTAACATTCGATTTTCATCGTCGCTATAATTTATAAAATTTTTCTTTATGTGTTTAACAAAAAAAAAGGAAAAAAAAGAATCAGACTAACATGTGAAGAGGTATATTAAGATATATATAGTATAATTAAATAACTATATTGTGCTAGTTAACTTTTAATTTATTGCATATGCATGTTTGAATTTTGTTAATAGGTTTTTGAATTTGAACTTTGAACTTTGAATTTCGAAATTCTCCCAATAACGCGTAAATAGACTTAATTTTTAAATTAAATATATATATATATATATATATAACAATAAGTTGACTATATATTATATATTATATTATAGTATATATTTTAAAATAGATTGCTTGTTTCTTAGGACAATCAACAAGGACAAACATCTTTTCCTCCTTATTTTCAGTATTTGCATGTCTATCAAATTGAATGAATTATTCATGTTTGAAATTTTGTTACATAGAAATATAATAAAATATTTGTTTGATTTTTTTTTTAATAAATTTTTCATTTGAAATGCCTTTTCTGTTCAAAAGTTGTGTCCATTGTATCTTGAATGAGCTCTATCCTTTAAAAATAAGGATTTGAACTTATATACATATTTTCTTCATTTGAAACTAATTGTCTTCTTTTTTAAAAAAATATTTTTATTAAAAATAATCTGTTTCTTTGTTTTTATTTGTTTAAACCTATTTTACTTTTTAGTACGTATTAAAAAAGAACTGACAATTTTTAAGCAACTTTTAAATTTAAATGTCTCATCTGACATGTTTTAAGATTATAAAACTAATAAACATTAGATACATCTACAATGTTTTTAATTTTATATCACAAATTTTAGAAGTCTTTTTTTAAATTCTTAAACTCTGCGTTAAATCAAAATATGTCATATAAGTTGAAACAGAAAGAGTAATCAAAAGGAATTTTTTTAATCCTTATTTAAGTATTAAGATATGCACTCTCTTTATTTAGTTTTTACTTTGTTTTATATGGTATCTCCCCATTATTAAAATATTTGTAATCTCTAAAAACAATTGCTACTGTATGTAAAAACAATAATAAAGTTTGTCTTGAACTTTACAATGACATACTATTTTCTCCGTTAACTTTTACTTATCACCTTTGAATTTGATATACATATAAGAAAACGATAATTGGACTTGGCGGAGCGATTGCAAGGTGGATTGAGACTTAACCCACAAAATTTTCAATATCTCTCATCCTATTCTGCATAATATTCTGAAACATTTTTATTTAATTCACTTTCATGATAGCCAAACAAAACGATATTTATAAAAGTTACAAGAAAAAAATGAAGTTAGTCTAAAAACTACTCTCTCCGTTTCTATTTACTTGTCAAATATTTTCTAATTTAATTTTTTTTTACTTGTATTTTTGACAAATCAAGGGAGGATCATTTTTTTCTTCCTATTATACTCTCAATTTATTAATATTAAGTTAATGTCTTTAGAAAATGTAGCGAGTAAATATATTTAAAATTATATTAATTAATAAGGATAAAATAATAAACTTACTATACCAATTATTATTTTCTTAATAAATATGTTAAGTAAAACGGTTACACCACCATTTCTGGCTGATGGTGTTAGAGTTGACAATGCAACACAAGCCCAATTAGAAGTAGTGGTATCAATGCAGAGAAAAGCCCAATGAGAAGTAAGGGCCCATTTTTTTTCAGTCTGAGGTCCAAATTTATTAGGAAAAATTACGGAAATTTCACCTTTTAGTTTACTTATTACCATTATCCCCTATAAGTTTTATAAATTCTTAAAATTCCTCATTCTCGTACATCAGATTAGTGTATCACGCACATCAAATTAGTGTATCTTACGCATCAGATTAGTGTATCATGTATAAAATGTAATGTATCTTACTTAAAGATTAGTGTATCTCGCACATCAAATTAATGTATCAGCGCTTATATTATTGTATCCGTTTGAGAATTTCTGTAATTATAAACTTTTAAAGAATAGATTATAATTTTGCCTTAAAAGCATGTGATTTCTGTAATTTGCCCAACTTATAAATTTTGAGGACATTTATAGGAGTGTTTACGCAACAAAATATAACAGGGTATTGATTTTTGCATTTGATTCAGAGATTTATGAACCTGAATGTCTTAACAATACTATGATACTGTCCATTTTGATAAATATTTCCTAAAATTAATGAAAAAGATAAAAGGTTTCAATATCAAATTTAATAACGTTTATGATTTGGATTTAGGTAATAGTTGATACAGATTGATCCTCTAAATCCGTTTTGTTTGTTAATTTTCCATAATTTATTCCTCTAATTAAGTTACAGCATTTAATTCAAAAGTATTTAGATCACGTATCTCGACCTTCTAAATCCAATCTAATAACTTAGTTAAATATGTATAGTTTAGGACACAATTTAATATTTTTTTTTGTATTTTTAATTTCGTATTCAATCAAATTAAAATACATAAAATAAAATGGAAAGGAGTAATATTTATTTCCTCAAAGTCAAAGCTAACCAAAGTAATCATAATTTTTTTAAAAAATTATTTTAGAAAAAATAATTATCCAGTATATTCTGATCTACACTTTAGTATTATATTATATTGAGGCAGAACCAAGCTCTTTATTTAACAAAGTTTAGGATAAAACAAAATCCTTAAATTCTTAAAAAAAAAATGGCAAAGGGATTGAAAATTGGTAATTTTTGCCTACTCTTGTTTTTATTAATTAAATTTGTCTGAGACTACAATGAAGGTAGGCCATTTTTTTTTTTAAAAAGTTGATAAGAAAGTATATGATATAATTTTAGGTTATTAAGGATATGATTTAAGATATTGCAGAAAAACGCGTATTAGAGTAGAAGATTACTAGGTATATAGTGTAGTGTTGTCTTGCTTTGGGTGATTGGTGTTTGTTATTGTACTAATTGTATTACAGTGGTTCTTTTTTTTATATTCATTATTGTTTTTAATTTTCTATCTTAGTATGTTGTTTATTGTGTTTTGATTATCACATTATTTTGTTATTATTGTTATTGTTATTGTTGTTTCCTTCTGATAAACGTTGCACCGATTCCTTGTTGCCTGTTGTATTTTCTTCATTGTCTATTTCTTCTTTATATTTGAATTTATTGTACTTGAGCCGAGAAATTTTCGAAAAAAAACCTCTCTACTTTTAACAAGTGGTAGTAAGATATGTAACAACATTTTACTTAATATGTTATTGATGCTTGATTAAATTTATGGAGTAACATCGCTTATATTCTGATTATTATTTATATTCCCATTTTTTAAAAAATAAAAAATAAAAAACTTTTAGTTAGATAGTGGTTGCTTTACCTTTTTGTTAATTGTGCAATTTGGTATGGTAATTGTTGGATTGGGCTGTGGAAGCAATGGCAACTTTCATGTTCACCAAGGAAGGTAACATTGTTTATAAGGTTGTTGGAGCTAAAAAAAACATGAATTGCAAAATGCTATCGTCAAATACATGGTTAGCGCATCAACGTTATATGCATTATTTCTACGTATAGATGTATTCATATATACGTATCGCATATGTATATGTACACATACTAATATTCATGCTTATGTGGTGTTAGAATATAATCTTTGTATGGGCAAGAAGTAATTTAATATTTAAGTCTTGTAATGAGCTTTGGGATTAATTATTAAGTCCTTGTTTAAGTATGAAGTATGAAATATTTATGTTAGTAGTAATTTGAATTGTTTTCTCTTCTTCAAAATTCAATTTGTTGTGTATCGTTCTTTTTGCCATACCAGTTTTAGAATCCACAGATTATGTCGTAAAATGATAAAAATACATAACTAATTGATTCTTATAGAATTTATGTGAAAAAGGGGAAAAAATTCTAAATTTATACCTAGCAAAATTAGATCATAGAAATGCTTTACATTTTATGTCGAATAACTTAATTTTTACAAAATTTAGGCTGAACATGATAAACATTTTTTAAATTTATACCTAGCGAAATTAGATCATAAATAAAAATGCATTGGTTCACAAGAAAAATGTTATTATCACCACAATCTTTTATAAAACGCTTAAAACCAACATATAGGGAGTTTATGATAATATAATCATAATTATTTTTAAACTCATTGAGAAATTGATGTCTTGCTTCATATGTCTAACACAATATGAAAATATTTATACATCTTTTCATTCCATATAGAATTATAAAATCATCATAAACATTTAGTATATACACCCAAGATGAACTCAATAGACGATGATAATTACAAAAAAGATTACATATAATAGAAACACAATAATTATTATTTCTTGTTAATTAGTAGAGGTTTATTACCTCGCTCAAATTAATAAAGTAAAATTTTTTATTTTGACTATTAATAAAAGGCACTAGGCGTCTATCTAGTAATATAATTTATTTATTTATTTTTTTAAAAAAAAACATAAATTTTAATTGTTTATTATCCTGCAATTCTTCCTGATCTCTCCCCTCTGTCCCGTTAAAGGTGAAATATTTCCCATTTTCACCATAGATTTCGCAAACTGCTCGAAGAAAGCTTCATTATTTTGAGCATACAATGTCACCAATTGTAATGATGCCATATTTTGTGTCACAAGAACTTGATCTGAATTCAACAAACCCCTAAAAACCAACAAGTTGTTGAAGTAGCTATTATCAAATTTTGTTGGTGACACATAATCTAAGTAAAATAAATTTTGGTCACCACCATATCTTGGGCACACAGTGCTTAATTGTGCACCATAAATTCTATCTAATGTGTAATCTGGAAAATAGTAATTCCCTGATTGACCATAGAGTCTTTGTTTGAAGCTGATACATCTTGAATTTCCAATTGTATGGGCCCCTACAAGGAATACACATTAAAAGTGTAAATAAAATTTATAACTAGTTTATTTTGTGGATTTTTATATGAATTGTCAGTCAGATTTACTGTTTACTTTTTTTTATTCAGTATACATAAATTATACATTTAATATACCTGATATACATATTACATATGAATTATATGCATATATATTATATATCTATTGATATTTTTAATTTACTTAGTTGGTAGACGTCTGTTTAGGTTAAATAAATAATACAAGTGACATGTTTTAATCGACTAATAAGATAAAATAGAGCGTAAACAAGTTAGATCTATTTTAATTTGTTACTTGTCTTATTTTTTGAGAAGTTACTAATCTTGGCTAATATAGATCTATAGTTAGTTTTTCAATAAGTTAATAGTGTAAATTATCTATCTAGAGCATAGAAATTAAACTCTTTTAAAAGTGAGGGAAGGGATTGAAGGATATAATTAAAAGAAAGTAATAATTTCTTCGTCTCATTTTATGTGATGTTATTTAATTAAATAAAAAGTTTCGTATATTAATATATTAAAATGTTATTTATTTTGTGGTAGACTAAAAAACAATTTGTGTTACATAGATGAATAATTAGGGTAAGAATTTACCTGACAAGGCCACAAGGTCAGCAAGATCAAGTCCTCTTAAATTGAATTTAGTGAAAATAGTATCAAATGTGTTATTGGGAGAAGGAATATTATTGTTGGAATCACTTAAACTAGCCTCTCTTGAGTCTCTTCTTCCCAATGGAACCTCCCAATTTGGTCCACCAGCCTGTATAAATAACAATAAAGCTTGAATTTTATGTATTAATAATATAAAAATAATTATATAATCAGATTAAGATAATTATACGTAACATTTTGTTTTTATGTTAGAGTTTATTTAGATTAATTAAATATGTTACTGTAATAAATTGATTCTGTTCCGTTGGTCTATTTATTTTGGATTTCGAGGAGGAGTCGATCAATTCTAACATCGTCTATGAGGTAAAATAAGAATTTTATGTTTATGAATTCTCTTGCCACGATTTCATAGCTTATCTTGATTACTGATTCATAATTATATATTATTTAACAAAAAATTTAATATTGTTGTACAAGACCTAAATAAGAGTAATTGACTTTGTTCAAATTCGTCATAAGCTATTATTTAGTCAAATTTATTATATTTGATTGGCATAAAGTTGTTAATGCTTACTAAAACGGTAGAATCTCTTGCAACAAGTGCTAATATATCAGCACAAGACACAGTTTGAGGGCATTCCTTCTCAAGTGCACCTTTAATCTCATCAATTACTTCAAATCCACGTGCCGAATTTCTATTGGCATTTGATAATTTTTCGCTTGTTATAGTTCTACTACTGTCCAGAAGCAAAGATGCATCACAACCCTGCATGATCATAATATATAATGAAATATTAAGAAAAATATTTTTCATGAAAAGAAAACGAGTAATCTACTAAATGGTCATGGGTCCGAATTCCTTATCTAGCAATTTTAACCTTTGAATTCAAAACTTATAATAAAAACAATAAAGTGTGATTCTATATTTAGTTTCTGTTAGTTTTTCAATATATATATATATATGAGATCTTTTTTTAAATTAATGAGTACACGTGCACTCCATCTATCTCCAGAAAAGAGTCAATCAATATAGACTGACATTTATAAAAATAATTTTTTGTCTATCACTAAAAAATTCACTTTTTTATACGTTACAAAATACACTAGATAATTTATGTACCTTAACAAAGCAATCATGAAAATGAAGTCTCAACAAAGAGGCAGCCATTCTTGCTTCTTTGGCTACGGCCTTAGCAACACCAACCTTGACAATTTCTTTTGCTTTAGGACATGACAAATCATAAAATTGTGGGTCTAAGCAACCATAAACATAATATTTAGTCTTGCTAGACAAACATATAGAAGCAAGAAAAAATAAAGTCCATATTATTTTAGCCATGATGACTAAAGTTGTAATAATAATCAAGGACTTGTTATATATGTAAAAAATAATAATTTAACTTTAATATATAAGAAGGTTGGATTTTCATAATAAAATTGAGATGCAATGCAAGAGTATATATAGTTTTCAAAGGGTGAGGTTAGAGTCTATTTCTATATTAATTAATTTGATCTATTTTAGTTTACGTGACACAATTAAAAATTCAAGTGTCGATTTAATTTATTTTTCAAACAATTTTTTATGTAAAAATTATTAATTATGGTAATTCATAGCTATTCTTTTTTTAAGTAGTGTTTTAAATATATAAAATTATTTTAAAAAAAAAACTTAAAGCTTATATGTCTGAATTTACGATCAAAATTTAAAAGTTTGAATCTCGAAATTTCAGTATAATTAGCTACGTCAATTTGAAAGTACTTGTTATTCATTTAGATTGGATTATACCTTTTTGAGTTAGGATTATGAAAATTAATTTCCACAATACCTTGCTTAGTAAAGTAGAACTTGTGCTTTATAAGTAATAAAATAATAATGTTTAATTTGATCCGTCTTTATTCATCTATGTCTAATTTTCAAATTTTATTAACTCATCTTACTAATTGAGTTGATATATAATCAAGCCACGCAACATTTTTCAGAAAAGTCTCACAATAACTTTTTCTTTTTACCATAAATTATAAAAAAAATTAAATTGCTTAGCCAAGTCAAACTTTAAGTTTTCCTTATGTTAAATGTTGACATTTTCTTGTTTTTACGTGTGTCCAAAATTTTAATATTTTGACACCGTTTTTATAAAATATTTTGTTAATTAATAGGGAAAATCGTATGAAATTGTAAATTATAAATTCAAATTAAATGTTATAGTTATATTTTATTTTATATTGTAATTTGCAACAAAACTTTTCATTTTCTTGCATCTGATTCGTTATACAATTAGTCATTTCGATATACAATTAGTTTGTTTATATATTTCGGTATAAAATGTATCTGTTTGTATAAAATGAGAGAAAAATGTATATACAAATATAAATACATATATTTTCATATATGTACTTACGATTATACAGGTACAGATCTTATTATACAAATTACAATGCATGAATGAATTTATAAAATATTGAACAATTTTTACAAAATTGGATGTTTCTAGCGAATTATACAAATCAAAAGCTTCATAGTAAAAATATGCTATGGAGCGAATTATGCAAACTATAGCTATAACATACGAATATAATTTTTATATTTGTTATATATAAAAATTGCTTTTAATATAAAGTCATGTTGTTATAAATACATATATTTATTATAATCACTAAATCTTTTATTTGTTAGTGTTAAATTAGCGTGTGCACGTTGCGTGTGAAAGCAAGTAAAAAAAATACATACTTCAAAACCTATAACAATTAAATTATGGACATAAAATATTTGTTATGGTTCATATGATAACAATTATTGACATTTAGCACACCAAGATGAATATTGGTACATAGGATGATTACAAATTGACAATAATTAAAAGAAATATTGAAATTAAAAATGATAAAATAAAAATTACATCAAATAAAGACACAATAATTGAACTCCCTTAGTTCATTTTTCTACAATTCTTCCTAATCTCTCCCTTATGTCCCATCAAAGGTGAATTATTTTCTAATTTCACCATAGATTTCACAAACTGCTCGAAGAAAATCTTGTTATTTTTAGCATATAATTTTATCAATTTCTAATGATTTTTCATTCTTTGTTACGAGAATTTGATCTGAATTCAGTAAGCCCTTTGAAGCCAACAAATTCTTTGTACTAATTATTATCAAATTTTGTTGGTGTGACATAATCCAAGAAAAATAAATTTTGGTCACCACCAAATTTTGGACACTTAGTACGTAATTGGGCAGCATATTTTTCATCTAATGTATAATCTGGTAAAATTTTTGCATGATTGATTGTAGAGTCTTATGCTTTGAAACTGGTGCATCTTGCTTTTCCGATCGTGTGGCTCCCTGCATAATAGTTTTGTATTTATAATAGTTTTGTATTTAAACAGTAAAATTTTATATTATTAACTATAGTAAAACAAAGATTTAGCGAATTTAGTATCTAAACAGTAAAATTCGTTATTAATCTTACTTAGTGATGCATTTCTGTTAACTATGGGGGGAAATTAAAGATGGACTAGCGAGGAATTCATACTACCAAAAAATAACTATTTTTCACTTAAAAATGTTCTGTTCTCATAGATATTTGATTGAAATCTGTGAGAAAAGAAAAAAAATAGTATTATTTTCATATGAAAAAAGTTAGAAGTTTCTCACAATTTCAGTGAGAATCTGTTTTCCATCATACATTTTTCTAGTGAATTGGTTGGTCGGAAATGAGTAGAAAAATTGTGTTCTACAACACAAATTTTTCACTAATTCATAGAGGAAAAAACCTTTGTTTTTATTAGTGTCATAGGTAATTTCTATTTTTCTAATCCGGGTAAAAACTAAAATAAATTTAACTTGATAATGATAATTTAATATTAGGAGGTAATGGAACCTCCCAACTTGGACCACTAGCCTGTATAAATAATAATTGAGTTTAAGTTTTATATAATAATAGCGTAAAAGAATGTAATTTTTTATGTTTCTATTATAAAGACGGAATCAGGATTTTAGGAATTGTTTGATGACTAAAATGGGATACCCATGAATATTTCACGGGATTGGCCATCTCACCTTCTACACAGGTAACTAATACCGTCATTTTTGTACAATGTATATTCTAAAACTAATTAATATCCATAACCAAATGCATAGTAAAATAATATCACATTTTATTCATATGATATTATCATATTCTCACCAGTTGAACGATCCCTAATTATGTTTATGGTCTCTCAAACTCTACATAAATTCATAACTCGTCTTAATTACTGAATTTACAATTATGCGTTAATTATTCATATTTAGTAGATTTTTTTCTTCTGATATATAAATACAAAATCTAAACAAAAGTTATTGAATTTCTCCAAATTCGTAAATAATACTCTAGTTCTGTCTCAATTACTTTTTTCTAGGTTTAAAGTAGTTGTATTTACTAAAACAATAGAATCCCTTGCAGCAAGTGTCAATATATCAGCACAAGAGACAGTTTGAGGGCATTTCTTTTCAACTACAAATTTAATTTCATCAATTACATCAAATCCACGTGTTGAATTTATATTGGTGTTTGATAATTTTTCACTTATTAAGGTTCCACTGCCATTTAAAAACACCGATACATCACAACCCTACATAAATCAAAAAGTTCGATCAAACCAAAAATATTTAAAAATGTCATAAATGAAAGATATCCGTCAAACATGTATATTTGATTATCTAATTATAAGCTTATTTATACACCCTCTTATTTTCTAGAGAGTAGTTTTTTGATATTTAATAAGAGAATAATGAAAACTTTTTCTCCTAAAAGGCATTAAAGATTGATATCAAATAATAAGCTTATCATGGACACTTACAAAGTGACACATATGAGAAAAATGTACCTTAACAAAGCAATCATAAAAATAGAGTCGTAGCAAAGGAGCACCCATTCGAGCTTCTTTGGCTACGGCTTTAGCAACAATAGACTTGACAATGTAAGATAATGCCTTGTTCATGAGTATATATAGTGTTCAATGAGAAATATGATAATATTTTCTTCCTTTTAATTTTAAAATTCGACGTATTGGAAATGAGAATCATTTCGAATAAATTATATATCAAAATTAAAGGCTGGAAATATTAAGAGGATTTCATATCTAAATTTTAGAATTGTTTAGAGGTGATTTCAAGGGAATTCTCTTCTTCGGCTTCGTCAATATTCTCTGTCTTCTTTTCTTTTCCTTTTTTTTAAAAAATATGATGTACTGAAAATATAAATCGTTTTGTGTGAATTATATATCAAAAGACTGAAAACTTTGAGATTATTTCATATTTCATATCGAAATTTTGAATTGTTTAGAGATGATTTTGAGTTGATCGAGATTGAATAATCAATGTATACTTTATGTATAATTAGCTATCTTCAGTCTTTTGAATGTATCATAATGTATAGTCAGTGGAAAGCTCATGTAAAGGTAAGTTATATTGTATAGTCACTGTATTTTGGATAGTTATATTTATAGTTAGTGTATAAAATATTATTATTAATTATATTTATAATAAAGTAATTACTTTATTATATATCTTTGAAACTAGCCGTACCTAATCCCCACCATTATGGCGGTTTTAAAAAAATAAAATTAAAGAGTTATTGAAAAATAAACGAGATTTTACTTTTAACTATACTAAAAAGAAAATTAAGAGAAATAAATTGAAGCGGAGAGAATACTATTGTTTCAATTTATTTATTTTATTTTTAAAAAAAGTTTTTTCTTAATTTATATTTTCTTTATTTATTTTTTACTTATCCACGATAGATTTTGCACATTCAATTGAAGGGTCAAAACGCATACTGGAGTATCTCAATTTTAGAAGTTTCGTATACCTCAATATGTGAGTTTTTTTTATCTGAATTGAAAAAATAATGTTTGTCAACAATAATAATATATTTAATTTTTAAAAAGGAATTTTATACAGAGAGTAAATTAATGTTCATAATTAGATCACTTTAAAATGTTGATAAGTATTGTTTTCTGAAAATGGGAGACTTGTAATCTCAATTACAAAATAAATAACTTTCTAATTTTTGAACTACAACAACTAAAGATAATTTGATCATGTAAAAATAATTACACCAAAAAAAAAATACTTTCTTCCCCTTAAATACTTTCTTTCTTCAAATATATTATATAACCATTTTTTTTTAATAACCATCAACACTTATCAACAAAATATGATTAACACGCCATTATATTAATTTGATTATATAGTGGAAAATAGTTTACATTAATTATATAATTTGTAGATTTTTATTTATTTACTTTGTTTAAAATTTGGCCCTGACTTAACCCTGCAATTAGTGATTCACAGCATACCCTAATTATTAATGGCCCATTATTAATCATATGCAAAAATACAAAAATGCAACTAGGGATTTTATATTATTTTTGTTTGGTCAAGGATGTAATATTTTATCTGTCCGAAAACTTTTATAATATTACTCTTTTCATTTTAATATGTTTTATCTGATTTTTATTTGATACAAAGTTGTAAAAAATATTCGAGACTTTTGAATTTATTATCTTCAATTAAAAAAATTATATTTTTTTAACTTTGTGATTTTATATATGTTTTATGAAATATTAAAATTAAAAAATTATAAAAAAATTATTTTTTAAAGTGAATTAGGTTAAAGTAAGTGAAATAAATTGAAACAAAGAGTTTTTCGGTCTCAATTTATTTGTTTTATTTTCTCTTTTAAATTGTTTTAAAAAGAAGGCTTCTACCTATTTTTTATTTTTATTTTGTATTCGGTGTTCAGTATCCACATTGGAGTCCGACTAAATTTGAATTTACACCTGAAAGTCCCATATTAGGAAATAAAATACTATCTAACAAAGAAAACTCCATATGCAAAGCCTTCTAATTTCATATTCTTTTCGATTATTTTTACTTGTCCATAGTAGACTTGCACACTAGAGTAAATAGTTAATAACATATATGATGTATCTCAATTTTTCAAGTTACATATCTGAATCATAAGCGTGCGTAAATTTTCTACCTAAACTGAAAAATGATGTGCTTAAGAAGAAATTAAAGAAATGATATGATAACTCGAAAATAATAATATGACCCAAAAATAATAATAGAAGTTTTTTCGAATCAAAATATTGATGATCGCATGCGTTAAAGATTTATTTCTTTTTAACCTTTTTTTTCATAATAATAATAAAAGATTCATCATGTCTTTTAATTTTATTTTATTTTTCACATACATGTGGAAATTCATTTATGAATATAATCTAACACTTCCAAATTATTGAACAAGTGCTAACTAAGCTCATTTTGTCACTTTGTGAATATAAGCAAGGATAACTCATCTAATTAATACAACATCTAAACTTGTGAGGCTAATTAAATTTATTTTTTACTCCACAATTGAATTTATCAGTCCCATTTGCAATTTCTTTTCTCTATCACCTTAAAATATCATTAAAGATTCCTCATAAAAATATAATTTTTTTTAAGCCCTCACATTTAATTTGTTTAATTAACATAATCATTTGTTTAAAAAATCCAAGCCTTGGACTCTCTCTGTAAGTTAATATTTTTTCTTTATAGTTAATGTGGATAATCTTAGAAAATTTTATAAAATTCACCCAAAATTAATTTTCAATAAGTCTCTATTAGAATTAAGAAAAGGTTCATGGATTTTTCGAATTTTCTAAAAAAATGAATTTATATTGGTATTTATTTTTTAGTTCCAAAATTTTAATATTTTATTAGATTATACAACGAGCTCCTTTAATAATAACATATACCTATGTATAATATATTAGTATGTGAGTCCACGAAATAGAAATTACTAACAGATAAATATTCTACAAAAAGAAGATTACATTTATAAAGCAAAAGTCCATTCTTATTCTTTTGTATCTACAAGATGTGTCTCTTCGTAAAAGCTTGACAAAATGAATTTGTATCGCTTAGAGTTTAACGTCATATTTAGTGAAATCTCATTAATAATATATATATAAAAAAAGATAAATATATGTATATTTTATCTTTATCTTGTAGCGATAAAGAGGTTATTTTCGAAAAACTCTCGGCTCAAATACAATAAATCAAACAGAAAAAAAATAACTAAGAAACATAACAAATATAACAAAGAAAGAAGTGTAAATCTTATAAGAGAGGTGTTGAGTTAATACTATAGTTGAGTTAATTCTAACTATGTTAATTAAGTCTAATGCAAAGATATAACAATAATACATTTTAAAAGAGAAAACATATCGTTCCAATAAACAAACAAGAGGTTTCTGTAAAAGTGAAGTAATGCCTTTAATGCCATTAATTTTGACAATTCGTTTCTCAAAATTAAAAAAAAAATTAAACTTTTTTTTCTATTTGAAGCTCCTCCTCTTGAAAAATCTATATAAGAATGATATTTTCATTACGTATATAAGCAAGAAATCAAAAATACAAAACCAACCTTTCTTACATATAATATTTTTCTTTTATGTTGTTTATATGTCTTTTCCTAATATAACACACAAAATATCTCGACTCTCCACCATATAATGAAACTTCATCGCATATATTCAAATGATGTGAGGCTTCAATATTGAACAATAATTTATTGTCAAATATATATACAATAATAAAATTAGAAATATATTAAAAAAGTGATGTGATATCTCTTTGAGATAATCTTAGTGCACAGTTTTTATCTAAGAATCCTGCCATCCATCAATGATCAAAGCATATTCATATTGATTATCACTTTGTTCGAGATATGTTTTTATCTAAAGTTGTTGGCACAACTCGATCGGTTCCTCAACCTAAGTTCCAAGCTCATAGTTCGATCACGAGCATGATCTTGCAGGGGACTATTAGAGTCCATAACCTATTTGAATTCAAATATTGTTGTTAGTCTTTAATTCAATTGTCATAGCTCATTCTTTGTAACAAAAGGATTACTCTTCCTTTAGAATTCGTATTGGATTAGAACCCTATACTTACGTCAATATGTACAACATCTATACATACAATATAATACTATATACTTTTAATTTCTCAAAAGCTTCTTGTACTTATTCTTTATATATTCAAAATACTAAATAAAACACTCTTCTAATCTTCTTAATTATATTAAAGCAATGTTAATAAACTAAATGATCATTTCTTTTTAAAAATTAAATGTAAAACTTAATGGTCTTTATATTGTTGTAACCTTTTATCATCTATAACACCTAAAATAATCAATGTTACATTCATGACATTATTTGTTATTTCATATTGTAGTCAATGATATTGTCACGACCCCAATCGGGTCGCGACTGGCACCCACACTTATCCTCCTATGGTGAGTGAACCAACCAATCTAAACCTTAACATTTCAATATAATATCAACAGAAAGTAATGCGGAAGACTTAAACTCGTTAATAAAATCAATAACTATTATTATCCCCAAAATCTAGAAGTCATCATCACAAGAACATCTAGGATCAAATTACTAAAGCTAAAACAAGTAAAAGCTAGTCCATGCCGGAACTTCAAGGCATCAAGACATGAAGAAGAAGATCCAGTCCAAGCTAGAAGCGTTAGCTCACCCTGATATCCGGAGTAATGAAGACTGGCTAGAGTTAAGGTTGAGTTGAAGACGACGGTACGTTTGCTGCACTCCATAATTAACAAAGAAAACAAAACATAAAAGTAGGGGGTCAGTACAAACACAAGTACTGAGTAGGTATCATCGGTCAACTCCAAATAGAAAACAGTATATATCAAGTAATATCATAAATCAACTAATATCCTTAGCATGCAGCATTTACAATTACCATAACCCTTGGTTACAATACCAAGCACATCAATGAGGACTCACGCCTCCTCATCATACTCATTTGGAAATTAGGTTCATTAGATTGAGTGTATTAACATCTTTCAAGATTCATTAACTTTATTCCTCTCGTGTCGGTACGTGACACTCCGCTCCTCATATACTATCATGGTGTC